TGCTTCCGTCGCAGCTTCCCAAGCTGCGGGAACTACAGGCGCGTGCTACCATGCCCGGCTAATTTTGGGGATTTATTGTAGAGATGAGGTCTTGCCAAGTTGCCCAGGCGGGTCTGGAACCCGCGTCCTCAGGCGATCCACTCACCTCAGGCTGGCAAAGCGCTGTTGCCCAGGCAGGACTGGTGTGCAATCTTCTCCTTCTCCTTCTTCCTCCTTAGAGATGAGGTCTCCCTATATTGTCCAGGCTGGAATCTGGACTCCTGGCCTCATGCAATGTTCCTATCTTAGCCTGACAGAAGTGGGCCACCGTGCCTGTCCTACCCAACACTGCCGGTTGTTTGTGGGGTTTTTTTTTGTAGGGTTTTGTGCGTCTGTTTGTTTTAATGCCTGAAAAAAAGGGTTTGTTCTCTCTTGTCAGCCAACCACACACATCACATGGTACCAGGTAGAAAGGCTTAAATAGCCATTAGGTGGGGTATGACGGTATCAACCACATAGGGTTTATATGCCAAAAAAAAAAAAAAAAAATTGTGGCGAAGGGGGAGGGAGAGAAGTTGAAGCCTGACACAGTAGTGCACACCTATAGTCCCAGCACTTTGGGAGGCCAAGGCCAAGAGGGGAGGATTGCTTGAGCTCAGGATTTTGAGTTCAGCGTGGGCAACAGTGAGGCCTCGTCTCCTCAAAATCTTTTAAAATTGGCCAGGCATGGTGGCACACGCCTGTAGTCCCAGCTGCTCTGGGGCTGAGACTGGAGGATTGTTTGAGCCCAGGAGATTGAGGCTGTGGTGAGCTGGGACTGGGCCACTGCACTCCAACTGAGTGAGATCCTGAGTAAAAAAAAAAAATTTTCAGGATGCCAAGTTAAAACTGAACTTCAGATAAACAGCCAAGTGGGTTTTTTTAGTGTAAGTATATCTCATGCGATCTGTGGGATATACTCATACTAAAATAGTAACCTTACTGTAGGGGGAAACCCTGTGCCCTGGGTAGCAGCCCGTTGAAAGCCTCCACCTAGTCGGGCGTGGTGTTTCACATCTGGTGTCCAGCACTTTAGGAGGCAGAGGTGAGAGAATGACCAGAGCTCAGGGGTTGGAGTCCATCCGCCTGGGCAATTTGGCGAGACCCCGTCGCAACGATACATTTTTTTTTAATTAAAAAAAAAAAAAAAA